GACTGATCATCAGAATCTAAGGCCCAACCCAGAGAAATTTTGATTTAGTAAGACTGGGGTGGGGCCCAGAAATTACTATTTTTTTTACATTTTCCCCCATGATTCTGATAATTAGCTAGGTTTGAGAACTACTCCTTTAGATCGAGAACTGAGAAGTGATACCAAAGTGGATTGCCCCATGGTGGACCTCAGATAGGCATTTTACATTTCCTGGCACAATCCAAAAGATTAGGCAAGGATATTTTTTCAGCATAAACTGTCAAAACTACTAGAAAAGGTATATATATATTCCACACATAGAAAGCAATTCATTGTTAAATTCCATTCAACAGAATGCATTTTGTCTTTGGCAAGAAAGAATTCCATTTCTAGGAGTTTCTTTCAAAATAAACTCCATAAGAAAAAAATTTCACATTTAGAAAAAACACAACAAAATGTAGTCACCTTTATATGGTTTTTAAATTTTAAGAGAAAATCCAAGAATAAGTTAAATTAGTAGTTAAATCAAAATGCATAATTATGTTTTAACCAGGTATTGCTTTCTCTGAATCATATGTACTTTTTATAAAAACAAAGGAGTAATAACAGTCTATAAAATGTTGTGTGTGGATTTAGTCCTGAGTCATTTATTATGTATATGATGCCTGAGTCACTAATTACTAAAGCTTTCCTATAAGGAAAAGATTAGTAACAATAGGCAAAGCGATTATGAAATTTTGAATACTAATATAGTTATGGAAACTTTTTTAAACTATATTTGGAAGAATTAAATTCTATTAAATTATATTTATTACAATAGAAATTATTACTTTTCATTGAGGGACATGTACTTTTTTCCCTGAGGAATTAAAATAAATTTTGCAGATTTAGAAACCCACAAATTTTAAAGAAACATATTCTTAAAACTGACAATACTATAGTTTTATTACCCAGAGAGGGAAGAGTTTGTATATTGTATATTAAAGATACCTTTTGAAAATATGACTTTTGGCTCTTAATTTTGTATATAATATTAAAACTAATATATATAATTGATGTAATGAAAAAATTGAACTAAAATAATTAAGACTAATGATTGCTGTTATATTTTTTTTGCAACTGAAATTAGATTTGATAAGTTTTAAACGTAGCTCATGCTAGACCATAGCTAACTACAATTTGTAACTGCCCTAGCCCTTCCCCACCAAGCTCCTCCCCGCGTCTCCCCAGTCCCCTCCCCCCGCCCTCCACACAAATACTCTCAGACTGTTCTGCACTTTGATACACAAAGCAACTTGTCAGTTCAGTTAATTCAGTTAGGGTCAGTTCTGTGAAAACAAAGTCAAGGCGATTGTTTGATTTAATTGACTAGTGAAACTTGTTATACAGGTAAATGGAACTTATTTTTATTTTTATCCAGCTGCATATTTGAATGTTCATAAAGTTACTTAGTAGAATAATAAGATTCCAGTGACATTTAAAGAATGATTACCAGAGCAAAGGAAAAAGACACTAAAACTCAAACTATAGAAAATATTCATGGTATTTTTTTCTTTATGGCTCTGCTTTCATTATAATGAATTATGTCCAAAAAAAGAAGTCTTCTTTTCTTTCGCTATTCATTTCCTTTTCTTTGAGGAATTTTTTTTCCTGGACTATTCTTAATATAACCAAAAGAATATTTTCTAATAAAATTCAGATGAATTATTTAAATAACTTTTACTCAGTAATCCTCAAACTGCAAGCACATATTCCTTAAGAGTTGGTCAGCCACCTCTTGGCTTCGCTTTTCTGGACCTCTTGGTTGATCATTTTTTAAATTACTTTTTCTGCCACCCCATTCTTTCTGCCTTCTTCTGTACTTTACACTATACCTGTCCTGCTGTTCTCTATAGCTTCAGCTCCTAGGCTGCTAGTTACTCTTTTTATTTTTTTTATTTTTATTTTTTATGTGAGCATAAAACCAAAAAATTGCAGTGCTAAAATAACTGATATGTTTAGATCATAATTTTTTTAATGTTTATCTTGTATATTTAGTTCATTCAAGAGAAAATATATATAAATCAGTTCCTGTTCCAGAAAAGCAACAAGTATTTAGCCTCAATTGAACTTTCTAGCATTTGTGAAGGAAAGAGGGGGGAAAGTGTTTAAACGTATAAAAGGCTAGAATTTTATTGCTGAAGAATATATTAAGGTCATAAAGTAGTTAGGAATTTTTTTTTCTGTGTAATAAAATATTCCCTTCCCCACCACCTAATCTTTATAATAGCTACCCACCAGTTTTGTTGTGCTTGTTCGGTTTTTGCATATCCAACATTAGAATTCCTTTTTTGAGAGCTCATTATGTACCAAAGTAGGAGCCTGCTGATACTGACAGTGCTGTGTTTAGTCTTAGACTGACATACGTTTTACATGCTTTGGAAAAAAGAGCAAACACATAAACAAAACACTAAGGTTCATTGGGTGTATAATTTGATAAAATAGAAAAGAACTTTGGTCTATATGTCAAGATCATTAAATAGTCATACCCCTTAACCTAATTCTGAAAAAAATTTAACAACAACAACAACAAAAAATCATTAAGGAAAAGTGTCTACAGTACAAAGTCTGTTGTAGCATTATTTATACAAGTCAAAAATTGATAACATCATGAATGCTTATTAGTGTATGCAATGTAATTAAATCATGGCATGTTAGCTTACCAGATAGTTCCATAATCATTAGAAATATAAATTAAGGTACTCCAACAGCCTAGAAAAATGATTATATGATAGTGAAAAGGGATAATAAAAAATTGTACATATTACACTAGCAAGAAACAATCCAAAAAGGAAATTAAGAAAACAATTCCATTTACAATGGCATCAAAAAGAATAAAAATACTTAAGAATATTTAATCAAAGAAGAGCAAAACTTATACATTGAAAACTACAAAACATTAAAATAAAGAAGACTTGATAAATGGACAGATATCACATTAATAGAAGACAGTATTTTTAAGATGACAGTACTGCTCAAAATGATTTACAGGTTCAGTGAAATTTCTATCAAAATCCCAAAAGCATTTTTTTTTTTTTTTTTTAGAAACGAAAAAGCTCATCCTAAAATTTACATGGAATTTCAAGGGACCCTGAGTGACCAAAACAATCTTGAAAAGGAAAAGCAAATTTGGAGGATTCCCACTCAGATTTTAAAACTTGGTACAGAGCTACAGTGATCAAAACAGTTGTACTGGCATAGAATAGACTAATGGAATAGAATAGAGACTAATGGAATAGAATAGAGAGCCCAGAAATAAACCCTCACCTATGGTCAATAATTTCTCAACAAGTCTGAGAAACTATTCAATGGAGAAACGACAGTATTTTCAACAAATAGTGCCGGTAAAACTGCACGTCTATATATAAAAAAGTGAAATTGAAACTGTACATCACACTATATACAAAAATTAACCTTAAGTTGACCAAAGACCTAAATTTTGGAGCTAAAGGTATAAAACTCATAGAATAAAACATAAGAGAAAATCTTCATAACCTTGGATTTGGAAATGATTTCTTTAAAATGACACCAAAAGTACAGGCAACAAAAGAAAAAACAGGTAAGTTGAACTTCATCAATATTAAAAATTTTTGTGATCAAAAGACAGTATCAAGAGTAAAAAGACACCACAGAAAGGGAGAGATATTAGAAATCGTATATCTAATAACAGTTTAACATCCAGAATATATAAAGAACCCCTACAACTCAGCAACAACAAAGAAAAACCAAATTAAAAAATGGGCAAAAGACTTAAATAGACATTTCTCCAAAGAGGATATACAAATGGTCAATAAGCACATGAAATAACAATTTTGGCAAAGATGTCGAGGAATTGGAACCAAATGCATTGCTGTAGGAATGTAAAATGATGCATCCACTGTGGAAAATAATTGGCAATTCCTCAAAAAGTTAAATATAGAATTACTGTATGACCCAGCAATTCCACCACACTCCTAGGTAGATAACAAAAGGAATTGAAAATAGTCTCAAACAGATATTTATATACCAGTGTTCATAACAACATTAGTCATAATAGTCAAAAAGTAGGAACAAGCTAAATACCCAACAAGAGATGAATGAATAAGCAAAATGTGCTATAAACATAACAGTAGAATATTATTTGGCCATAAAAAGGAATGAAGTTCTGATTCATGGTACAACTTGGATAAACCTTAAAAACATTACATTAAGTGAAATAAGGAGACATAAAATGATAAGCATTATATGCTTTCATTTATAAGAGGTACCAAGAATAAGCAGATTCATGGAGACAAAGTAGAATAGAGGTTTCCAGGAGCTGAGGTGTGGGAAATATGTTTTGACTTAATGGGTATACAGTTTCTTGGGCAGATGAAAATGTTCTGGAAATAGATACCAGCAATGGTTACACAACATTGTGAATGTACTTAACACCACTGAATTGTACACTGTAAAATGGTTAAAATGGTAAATTTTATGTTATTTATATTTTAACCACATTTTTTCTTTTAATTATACATAGTGATTTAGGTACATAAATTATCTATTTTACAATAGAGATGGAAGGAAATATGAAGACATAAAAAATTACTACATTATGCATTTATATATTTTTTAATAGAAATAAAGCTCAAATAAAAGATTTTCATTTTTAGCTAATGGGTATTCATTAAAAAAGGATAAATTTTATGTCACATAGCTCCTCAGACCAACAAATGGTAAGAAAATTTAGGTAACCCTCCCCCAAAATTGGTAACAATATTCACCAATTTTCTTTAAGATTTTCTTTCCTATTTACATTGTCTTTATTATTATTATCATTGTTATTAAGCATAGCAATTTTGATTAGTCATTCTTAAAACCTTCCGATTTATACAGGAAAAGCTTTTCCAAGTAATTCGTGTAAGGGAGAGTTGGTATACTGTATCTGTGTTAGAGCATTTTGAATAATTTTAGTTTCTTGTAAAATTTTCTAGGTTTTAATGCAGTCTGTTTTTCTTTAGCTTGACAGGGCCAATTCTCTGTTAAACCAAACCCAACAACCTTACAGTTATCTCATTGAATCAGTGCGTCAGAGAGATTCTAAGATTGATTCACTAAAGGACTGTATCACACAACTTGAGAAAGATGTCAGGTAAACCATCTACATATCTTTTATTTGAGTAGTAAAGATATAAACATTACACTGCTATCGATAAATGTGGGTAGTAAATGGTGAAGAAAAAATTTAAACAATGGAGGTGATCCTAAATGTAATGAGTATTGAATTATTAGAAAAACTAGGTTACATCAATTAGGTGTTTATATTCCACCTTGTGGTCAGAAATTTTAGCCTGGACATAACAGTGCTACACTTTTTTTTTTTTCTTTTTTTTTTTATTACACCTATAGTACCTGGTATTCCTAGGTGGTCTCCCATCCAAGTACTAACCAGGCCCGACCCTGCTTAGCTTCCAAGATCAGACAAGATCAGGCATGTTCAGGGTGACATGACTATAGACATAATGCTACACTTTTAACAAAGCACTTTACCCACCCTAACACATATGACATTTACCCTGTCGTTGTTCCCCTAGAAATCTTTAGTGGGATGTGGGTTGACCAAAGTGAGGAGGAATAGAAACAGATGCCATTTGTGGAATCAAATTAATTTTAAATATTAAATGTATATATTTACTGAGATTCATGTTGACTTTGCCAAGGAATTTTTAGGCTTTTTTTCCCCTAAACATTTAAATAACCTATGAATTACCTAAATATAAATAAATTTCTTTCACTTCCTTGAAGTTGTTTTTTTTACATGACATCTTACCCAAAAGACTTGCTCCATTTAATAATTATTCAAATCCTTTACATGTTCATCTGTATGATCATTTTTAGTCTTTTTTTTAATTACAGTAAAAGAACGATGCTATACATAAAGAGGTTTTAACTTGCGAATGGTTAGTGAGTTGGCTTGTTATTAGATTTTAATATTGTTAGAATAAATTATTAACCAATTCATAGAATAGAAATTATTAAATTAAGGAACTGGAAAACAATAGAGAAGATAGTTATTAAATCCAAGCTTCGTAAGGTATATAACCAAAATTATAAAACTATGGGTCATTAACTCCAAAGTATGAGTGTTCTTTTTATTGAATCAGAATAATTATCTTCTCCTCTCCTTTCTACCCCAGCCAATATAATTGGCCCAGAACTTTACTCCTGATACTAATTTTTGATGATTTGACAAAATAATTTAAAATCACATTTATGTTTTAAACATCAACATAATAAAAATTATATTTGCAATATATATAACCAGCATTATAAGTTAATTCATTGAATTAATTAAGCAGTTATCCTATAAATAGCTATTGGGGACAGTAGATTCTTTTTTATCACTCACATTGGGTACCTAGTTATCGTAGGGAAATTGAAGAAAGAACCCCAAATAAAACTTTTTCATCCTCTGTTATATATTTCTATTATATTTGAAATTTTGTATAGAATCACTTTACCTTCATAATCTTGGAAAGTGGTTTATAAAAGGCCTGTGCAAAAAATTACCTCTTTCACAGTTACCTTGAAGTAAATGTATTTGAATTTTTATCTAAGAATTGAAATAGCTAAAAATATTGAATATAGAGAAATAATAGCTAACTATAGGAGAAAAATTATAAAGATCAGCAAATTCTGCTTTAGAGAAATTAAGCAACTTTTCATATAAGAACATACAGCTTTGTGGTAGGGCCATAATTTTAATCCAGAGTTGTCTGCTTCCTAATTCTATTCTCTTAACCATTATGTTATACTGCCTCCCTATGTCCTATTCTGAATAAGAATACTTTTTTATTAACTACCATAATTAAGGAAGGGAAGCAAAAAAAAATAGTGTTGAGTAATGGTTAAAAGTAGGGCATTAATGAGCTGATAATTGTTGAAACTCAGTGATGGATACATGAGGGTTATATTTTTCTCTTCTTTCAAAATACTCCATAATAAAGTTTAAAAAAAAAAAATTTAAAGGAAGTACAGGCTCTATAGATAAATTGCATGGGCTCAAGTCCAGCTCAGTACTTAGTTTTGAATTGGAGCAAGTCAGTTGAACTCTCTAAACCTCCATTGTTCAGTAGAACTTTGTGCAGCAATAAAAACATTCCATATCTGTGCTGTCCAGGATGATAGCCACTAGCTGTGGCTGTTGAGCATTTGAAATGTGGGTAGTATTACTGAGGAACTAAAGTTGTAATTTTTTTTAATTAAATTAATTTTAATATTAATTGCCGCTTGTGGCTAATAGCCATGATATTGGAAAGTACAGCCAGTTTTTTCATCTGTGAAATGGGATTAGTACCTATAGTACCTAATTTGTATGGTTATTATAGAGATTAAATGATATTATCTTTGTAATATATGCAGCACTGTGCCTGCACATTATAAATGTCGTGTTTGCTATTATTATTATTTTCTTACATTTAACAAATTTTTATATTGAAATTGTATTAAAAGTGTAAAAAAAAGAAATTATATTAAAAGTAAGAAATAAATTTCTCAAAATATGTTGAACTTGGACAAAAATTAGGACTCCCTTAATAACAGCAACAGTAATCATAAAAACTGCTAATTACGGAATTAACTACAAAAAAATATTTTTGTGCTAAACATCTGATGTTTTAAAACTATCTGTTTCATAAATTTATAGTATAATATTTTAGTACATTCTGAACTAGTATTTCACAGGAAATGAAAACTTGTTATTAATTGAAGTAACTATCCTTTAATGTGAAAAGTTAAGGTGCTTTCAGTATTTTCATCATGGTCTTTGAGATGCTGTGGATGTACCCTGATGACATAAGTTAAATGATGTGTTGCCAGAAAAACACTCAACCCGATCAACAAGTCAGATACAGCACGATAGGTCATAATTCTCTCTACCCCTACCCCTACCCTGAGCTGATGACCTGTCAAATATAGTGGAATTATCCTGAGCTTTGAATCCACATCAGCCTGATTCCTCATGGTAAATCTGTCTGTAAAATATAGCTATTATTGTGAACATCAAGAAGTAGTTGTGAAAATTGAATAACATATAAAAAGCTTCTGGCACATGGGAGAAACTCACTAAATATTATTTTCCTTCCTTTTGTCCTTCATTATTTCAGAATTTGAACATTAGATAACCCATCCAAAGAGATTACTAAGTGATTATGTTCCTTAAAAATTCCTCTTCCTCTTTGCTGGGTGTTGATTTTAATAATAAAGAATATTTACATTAATTGATTGTTTTTTAAAAATGTTTCTTTAGCTTATACAATAAAAGCTCTTTAAAAAGCTGAATAATTTTATAATTTTCTTAGAAAATAAAACAACCACTATACCGTCACCACAACTTACAAATTTAGCTATTTATATGGTATAATCAATGTCTAGAAAGGTTAGAGTAAATATGCACTAAAATAAATTTGTTAGAAACATGTTAAAAGCTAACATTTGAGATATCACTGTTAACCACGTTAAATTTCCTTATCATTAATAATTCATTCTAAAGGTAGTACTGTTAATATTCCTCCACCAAGCCATAAGAGACAGTCTGCGTTATATAGTATGATCCGTAGTTCAGAACTGAGGGAAGCGTGGAAGCAGAATAATTAGCATAAATTTTCTTTCCCTGTTGTTAGTTTTTGGTATATTCTTTACTAGTAGTTTAAAAAGAAAAGAGTACATTGTCAACTTCTTTTGTAAGGCAAAGCCAGGAAGTAAGAAACAAGATATCAGGAATATGTTTTCATATAACAGGTGAAATAGAGCCATAAACATGAATTCCTGAGTAATAATTAACAGCGAATTGAACAATTATGGGTGTCATATACCATTCACGATTGATGTGCTTATAAGGAGATTTGTTTTGTAGTTGCTTTATGAGTCACTCATAGAAGCTTTGTATTTTTAAAGGTTAGTTTCCACTGTTATGAAATATGTTTTATGGAGACTAAACTTCTGTTGAGTTATTACTTTCAAACTAGAAGAGCACAGAGGTTAGTAATCATCATATTCAGTTTTAGAGACCCCCAAGTTGAAGGTAGTCTCTGTGGTTTAAGAGTAAACTACATGTAGAGAAGGCTAAGACTGTGAAAATATATAACCGAGTACTATCTTTGGAGTCAGTACTGTTTGTGATAAAACCAACATCCAGATAGAACAGAGTTGCTCCATAAACCAATTTATCCAACAACTTTTTGTTCTGCGTTATGTGGTTATTTTAGCTATTTAAATATGGAATATTTACTTTATTCTGGGAAAAAGTAAACTCTATACATAAAGCATTTCTAATGAATTATCTAAAATTCTTTAATAACATCAACATTCCTTTCCTATTACACTGTATTTAATGGACCCATTGGTATTTGAGAGAAAGTGTGTGCGTGTGTGCGTGTATGTGTGTCAGTATATGTACTGCATATGAGTACATGTACACATACTGTTGTGTATCTGTGTACATGTATATGAACATTAACACATACCTACCTATTCCTTGAAAATTCCTATTTCTATTGACTGGACGTTTATTTTAATTCTGAAAAGGATTTTATCTTCGAAGTGATTCTACCTAAAGATAGATTAGATTTTAGAGTTACAGAAACGTCTGATCTTTGCCATGCTTTGTGGGATTCTGGCAGAACATGGCACTCAGTTTCCTTTGTATCATTTAGTTCTTTTCAATGCTGCGGCTCAGTAGGATCTCTGACGCCTAACTCCAAAAGTCAAATTGTTTTTGTGCTGAGCTGCTTACTTTTATTGGCATTTAATTACTGTTTTCCTCTGATGCCTGTTTTTCATCTAAACTATTAATACTATATAGCATTTATATAGAATTTTATGTGTTTAATGCTTTATATAATTATTCATTAGTTAATTCACATATCCTTTGACATATACAAGTATTATTTTCCACTTTTACAGATGTGAAAACTGAGGTTCAGTGGGGGAGGGTGTTGGGCTTTATACCGCATAGTTGAGTCAGTGGCACAGTTGGAAACAAAAGTTAGAATTGCATCTAGTCTTTCTTCTCAGAGGACAAACTATGATGCTTCCTTGGGGGAAGTTCTCAATTACTAGGAAGGAGGAGAATGTGCGCTTTTTCCTCCTAAGTCCTGGAATTACCAGTTCTTCCAGAATACCTACTACTATACCTTGAATTTAAAAAAACTTCCTGCCTGATATTTTAAAAATTGGTAGCTTTCCACTTTCTTAAAGTTATAACTTAAAACATCTTACCTATTCAGCAAAAACAATTCTCATTAATTTTACTTTCACAGATTTCATTTTGACATTTAAGGAATTGTTTCTTAAATTCATTATTTAAGTTATTAAATTAAATTTATTAATTATGTTGCTTTTCTTGATTCTTGTTGTAGTGCTGGCTAAGAAGATTAAGTCCAGTTGCTTTCAAAGAATATTTCATTTAATGGAACTCTGGATAGTATGAGATAAACCTCAACTATTTATCTTTTAAAATATAATGTCCTTAACAATTAGGCTTCTCACCCTTTCTTATCAAAAAATAGGTCACATCAAAGGGAAATTCACAATGCAAACTTAGAAACTGAAGTTCGAACTAAGAATTTGGAGACAAAAATTGCTTTTCCAAGTTGACCACAGACCAAAGATATGATTCATTTATTCAACTCAATTATATACCTGGTAATTTAGTATGCGATAAATTATAAAATATGTACTACCTCAGTTTTAAAGATAAATGTTTTAATTTGACTTCCAGTGTCTATAGTTTTAATATTCTGCCTATGCATACTTTCTTTTTATCTTTTATATAAGTCCCACTTAATCTTTTTACATTTCAGGAGTAAACAGTCCTCTTTAAAACACTAATTTTATGCCCCTACTAGTCAGGAAAGTATTGTCACCAAGAATCTCAGTTGCACTGTCAAATGATTATTAAAAGAAAAAGTCTGAGTTCAAAATAATTAGGCCATCGATTAAATCAAACAGTGTAGTGGCTGCTCTGATATCTTTACGGTCTGTAAATTTAATTTATCTTTAATTCAGAAAGTCAGATTTGTCTTTAGTCTTTTGCTATTTACTATTAATTAAATTTAAACCACTATGATGACTTTTTAAAACTTGGTGTGTTTTTTTTCCAGCAATTTAAATAAAGAAAAGTCAGCTTTACTACAGATGAAGAATCAAATGGCATTAGATTTAGAACAACTCTTAAATCATCGTGAGGTACTTTTTCCATTTTGTCATAAGTTTTACCACTTTAAGCTTTTTTTAAGTCCATGTTGGGTTAAAATTATTGAATCCATTTTTCATGTTTATTAGTGACTTCTCACATTTGCATCTCACTGTGTGTGATCTGGCCTTTTATATTCAACTTGTGATAGTTTATTCTTTATGAATTAATTTAGACTTTATTTTTTATGATGTAATTCTTATTCCTGCAACGCCATTTCTTTTGACCCCTTATTGCCTTGTTCATATCTCTGTCATTGAATTTCCACATTACTTAATAATTATTAGTTTTAATTTTCTTACACTAGACTGTAATTTTTTACAGCACTTCTGTCTCGTTCATCGTGTGTCCAATGCCTAGTGCACAATATTTGTGTTGAACTTTAAAGTTTATAACTTTTTTTTAATTTGTTCCTCACCAAAAATCTTTTATAGTTAATATAATCCCCATTTTATAAAAGGAAAAATGAGTTTTGGGCGCCCTGCCCAAAGCCAGTTAGTAACTAAGAGATAACCCTGGTTGTTTAAGTCAGATTTATTGAGGTATAATATACATACAATAAAATTCACCCATTTTAGCATACATTTCTCTGATTTTTGACTAACTCACACAGTTGTGTAACCATCACAACAATCAATATGTAAACTAGTTTCATCACCCCAGAATGTTCCCTCGCACCCCCTTTGTAGTGACCCTTTTCCCCACCTGCAGCCCTAGCCACCACTTATGTTTTCTGTCCCTATAACTTTGCCTTTTCCAGCAAAAGGCATTATTCTTTTCTAGAATGTCATATAAATGAAATTATTGGTAGTAGTCTTTTCAGTCTGGGTTTTTTCATGTACCATAAAAAAGATTTATTCATGTTGTTACGAGTATTAGTCATTTGTTCCTTTTTATTACTGAGTAATATTACAGTATATGGATGTACTAAAGTTTTTTAATCCATTCAGCAGGTGATATACATTTGGGTTTTTTCCACTTGAGGGCATCTATAACTAAAGCTGCTGTAAACATTGTGTATGTGTTTTTGTGGAAACGTAAGTTTTTATTTTTCTCGATAAATACCCAGGAGCAGAATTGCTGGGTCATATGGAAAGTGTATGTTTAACTTTATAAGAAACTGCCAAACTATTTTCCAATGTGACTGTACCTTCTGCATTCCCACCAGCAGTGAATGAGAGTTCCAGTTGCTCAGCATCCTCGCCAGCAGCTGCTACTATGAAACCTAGTTTTTTAATCCGGTGCATATTTTCCACAGAACTATCAGTACCTTGTCTTAGCCATGTTTTTACCATTTTATTAGCCTAACAAAGAAAGAAATGTTCAAAACAGGTCATTGGTTTATGAGTATCTTAAAGGCATTTTTCCAGTCTGGGAAAGACATACCATGTATTTAGGAAGAAATTATTGGAAGGATACTATTGAGAGGGATGACCTGGAGAATAGTACTGGAAGCAATTGGAAGGTGCATATTCTAGAAGTGGTATCAGGGAAATTGGGGGATTGTCTCTGTCTTAGAAATGGCCTTTGGAGTGAGTTCTCTTTTAAAGGTGTATTTTATATGATGGGTGAAAGAGATAAGGAGTCCCTGGACTAGATTTCACTGGTGACTTTTAGGTAGATAAGTAGATCTAACAACAGGTTACAGACTAGGAAAAGATTCTTTGAAGATGTTTAATCTTTTTTCTGACTTCCAACATTCCAAGCCTTATCTTCTATCGCTTATGTCCTAGGACTGTTTCTTCAAATAATTGTTTCTTCACTGTGGAAGCCTGATTCATTCACTATATGGATTTTTACAAATGTGTTTAAATTGGAACATTTAAGAGATAGTAACTACGATGTCCATTCAGTCACACTGATTTTTTTTTCATTAAGCTGCATAACAAGTATTTTTTTTCAGAATGACAATTCTCATTTGATTTTAGAGGATTATGCTAGACTCTGAAAAATATATGAGCAAATTTAATTTACATATTTTATACATCATACTTGGAATCACATTATTGACGTGTCCAAGTAAAAACTAAAAGTTTTACTCGAAGGCTTGAAAATTGAATAGGTTTAGAACAAAATATTTAAACATGAAAATTAAATACTAGCAAGATGAAACTACTCATGTAAATTGCCTATTACTGCACGGCATCAATGAAATTCACATGGATACATACCTGATTAAATAATTGTCAGTTAATATTCATGCATATGATAATCTCTCTTCATTTTGACAATTATATTTTAGTAATCTAACCTCGTAACCTTTTTTAATGCCAAACATGTAAAGAAAAGTAGTTGGTTTTTTTTCCTAACAAAGCAAAGTAAAAATTTAAAAAAACAAGTCTGATACAAATTTTTAATCTTTTTCTAAGAAATAGTTTAATACCAACTTGCATGGGATGTGCAGATGCCAAAGCAAGTGAAAACCACTTTTATAGAAACAGAACAGCCAGTGGCCCAGGGAAAGGCTTGACCATTCACTTGAATGTTTACTTAATAAAACAGAGTCTGCAGGATTGATTTATTCATTTTATAGCTCTTGAGGGTCAAGTGCTTAGGATAGCCAATAGGTACGGTTAAATAAGAGTAACCGATAAATATAATTTTGTGAAAGTGAGGCAAGCAAGGGCCCTAAGGCACAAGGTGTAGGTGTCCACAGTCAGAGGTGAGCACAGTGCAGGTCGGCACCGGAGAGCCAGGACCCGAAGAAAATTAATACGACTCATTGTTTTAATCAGCTAAAGAAACCAAATGAACATTTTGAATTTTTTTCATTTTCTTTTTTATGCCAGATAGCTAACTTTTTAAGCAGTGTCACTTAGTTCTGGTAAGACTGTAAATGGTCACATAATACGAAATGAGATTACTAACTCATTACGTAGTTATCAAGTATGTATTAAATGAAAAAAGAAAACAGATGGGATAAGTCTAGATTGACAATTCCAGGATATTTGGGTCATGGCCACAGAGGGTTTTTATTTTCTTTATTAGTGTTAGCTCAAAATTATTAGTTTAAAAGTACCTTCTCTCATGTTAGGAGTTCAATTGTGACATAAACATTTCTAGGACTGATAAAATTATCATTGACCTCTTATTCTAAAAATTTGAAGCATTTATACATTATGGTTATGTATATTTTGAATTAATAGCAGTATAATAGGTGATTTTGATTCTCAGCTTTTCTTTAAAGAAAGTATTAATAATAAAAAAATATTAAAATGTGAAGAGAGGATGGGTATTGAAAAAAAATACCATTTTGTAGATTGCCTTTTCAGACCATAAAGCTCAATTGGGATGGGTAAATATATTAGGTTAAAAGATCTGCACAACAGATACTAACTAAAAGATTTGAACATGAAGGAAATTGAGATCTCATACCTGTTTACGTCTCTCCATTTTAAATTTTCCAAGTTCTATGGCTGTATTTAGTGAAACCTCCATAGAGCAGAGTGATGGGGAGGGGGCAAATTATTTCTCCTCACAAAATTTCTTTCATGAGGGTACAATTTAATGTTATGCCCTCTGCCTTTATAGAGGATCAAAACAAGATCTGGTGTCATCTCTCTTTGTTTTGTGAAACTATTTGAGTCAGTCTACTAAGTACTTCTATTTATATTAATGTAATTTAGTTTCTACTACAAGTCCACTGAGATAAATACCATTGTTCCCACTTTTACAGATAAAACTGATGATGGATGGTAAGAATTAAGCAACTTAACCATGATTACATACTTACTGTCAAAACTAGAAGTAAATACTTTTTTTTTTTTTAACCTGAAATAAAAGCTTATGATCTTCTTAGTTTCATTTAAACAAAAATCTCATGATGAATTGTTGCTTGCTCTAGTTCCAGGAAAATTTTTGCCTCTGTAGATGAAGTTATATCTTTTCTTTTTTGTCAGAAAATGAAAACTATGTAATTTAATGTATTTCCTTTTTTTCTTCATTTCCAGAAAACTCAGAGCTGAATATCTTATCCAGGTGTTATAATCTCTTTCTTCTCTTTCACTTTGGATGCCTCAGAATAACTTTTTTTGTTTTGTTCAAGTGGAGTATAATCTTTTTTAACCTTAAATGTCTTCACTTATACTAAGATTGCTTAGGTGTAAAAATATAATGTATAATAAACCTTAAATAATTGGATTAAAAAGAGGTAAAAGAAAAGATCAACTGATAGAATCTCACTCTTAAATAACTATAGCAACTCTTCAAATTAAACATTCAGTTTTGAGGACAAAGAATGTGATTCCTTAGAATGGCTTCTTTCTTGTTGAGCGTACCCCTCAGGAGTCTTTCTTAATGGCTTTCATTTTCCATCCATTTTTATCCACTCATATTTTCCTTAATAAAACAAGATTTGCTGATCACCTTTGGAAACTCTAATTCTAATTTTCTTCATATCTATTTCATCATGTGTCTTTAGAATATAAGCTTTCAAGAATAGGAAAAGTGTCTTTAATCAGCCAAACGTCTAGTAGACTAATGAGTGTAATTTTAAGAAGCTGATGTAAAAGCCCTTTTCTAATTTCCTTTGCAGTTGTATTAAGGGCGGTGGTAAGAGCCCCACTTAGGAAACTATTCTCTCATTTATGTAGTGTCTTGAATAGATGGTTGATCATGGCGTCTGACAAAAATGGACCAGTTTGAGAGCAGTGTAGAAAGCAGAATCATGGGGTTTGGCGACTGAATTTAGGGAACGATGAAGAGACGAGGAATGAGAACTGGTGCCCAGGGTTTTGGCTTATGTCTTGGGTTTATGGTGTTACTACAAAAAACATAGGAGGGATAGGTTTGGGGAAGAAAGACTCAAGACATCTGGTGTTAGAGATTTGAGAGTCACAGCATAAAGATGGTCCTTTACATGAAAGAAGAAAGTACTAAATTAAATGAACTAGTAAAAGTATACAGAGTGAGAACAGAAAAAGGCCTGGGACAGAATTTTGAAGAGCAACAACTTCTAAGGGGACGGGCAGAGGAAAAAGCGCTTGCACAAAGA